CTCATTCCTTTAAGATAAATTCCTAAATGTAAAATCATCGAGTCCAAGGATACAAACATTTTTAACACCAAATTGCCCTCTGATAAGGTGATGGCAGGTTACACTCCACCGCAGTGCATCAGCATGAAACCTCTGTGGATATTTCTAAAATTATATTTAAGGGTCTCCCATATGAGGCATTATAGTATGAAGCCAGTTGGTACCAAATGATGGTAATTTATTTCAACATAGTTAAAACATTAAAGGTGTTACCTATACCCAGTGGTGTTAGAAGTCTCAGCCATTCCTTTCATTGCTTGCATTTTCTCACTTCATGCTCTGGGAAGCCCATGAAGAACACAAAAGTGCTCAGTTTTATGCAGTTTATATCAAGGTGTAGTATTTTAGTGAATATAAGGGCAATGCTTTTTAAACTTTATTGTGCAAATGAATCACCTGGGGATTTTGTGAAATTACAGATTCTGATTTATTAGGTCTGGGGTAGGCGCTGAGATTCAACATTTCTAACTCTCAGGAAATACTGCTGCTGCTGGTCTATGGGCCACATGTTGCTTAGCAAGGGTTTAGGAAGCCATGACCCCTTAAAAGTGCACCAGGCTTGAAATCGTGAAAGGATCTCTGACTTACCAATTGATTTTCAAAAGTGATCAACCATCTATTGTCATAAGATACAGAGAGATATCTTCCCCTAGTTGAGGAAGAAAAGAATTAGCTTTCCTGAGATAGGGTCTCTGCAAAATATAAGGCAATAATAAATGATGATGAGTGACACAGATAATAGGTGTAATGGGAATTCTAAGAATAAATGCTTCACTGAAGTGGTAATTGAAGGCTTGAGATAGGAGGTGGGACTTTTTATGTATGTTTAAAAAGTAATGTTGAAGGACTTAAAGGATACTCCCTATTTACCAGCTAACCTAGCTAAACCAGCATCTGCTTTAGCTCTCTGGACATTAATTCTAAAATTTATCTTAGAAATATTAATATTTTAGATTAGACTTATGTTAACCAAGTCCTAATAGACCTTATTCAGAATCTCAGAGTATCTGGGGCCAGTTTGCTTTTTAGAAGAAAAAAATCACTCAGGAAATAGTCATAGAATGTTTTCAAGGCAGAGGAAATTCATTTCCAATTTAAAGCATAATGAAGTGATTTTTCAGAAACCTTTCTGTGTCTCTGTGTCCCATGTTTCTTATCATTCTTTTTCTTTATTAGGGTCACGAAAAATGTGCCTTGTTAATACTTGACAAGATACAAGATGAGAGCCTTATTAATGCAAAAAATAATGCACTGCAGACGTAAGTGTAACTACCAAAGTTTGACTCAGACCCCGAGTCATAGTCATTTGTTAGATGAGTATTAAGAGCCTGCCATGTGCCAGGCAAGCTCTAGGGAACACAGTGGTGAGAGATGTAGACCTGGCTTCCCCTGCGTAAAGTTGACAGTCACTTACCTACAAATGCTGATCAAGCCAGACAGTTTTAGTTAGAATCATTATTTTGATATGTCTTCATAGAATTTTGTGAAATCTGTGTTTTTCTTTGCTGATGTTCCTGGGGTAACATTATAAATTTAGTGGGCTGTTAGAAAAATCTTAAGGGCTTACAGACTGACATATTTGGGGAAACTATTTGTATTATGCATTAGCATTATGTATTCTGACTGGAAAATGACAGCTTTATAAATCAGGTTCCCAGAATACATTTGAAGAGTTTCTAAGCTATTTGTCTTAATTATATTTTAATATCATTCAGTGTAATCCTCAGTGTGAAAGATCTGAAAGCTGCTTCATTTTTCCATTTTAGGAAATTACTTATGCATTTTTATAAAGGCAAAGGAATATTAGGCTTTTTTTTTTTTCATTTAAGATTCTTTTTTTCTTTTGAGACAGAGTCTCGCTCCATTGCCCCAACTAGAGTGCAGTGGTGTCATCGTAGCTCACTGCAACCTCAAACTCCTGGGCTCAAATGATCTTCCTGCCTCAACCTCCCCAAGTAGCTGTAGCTACAGGCACGTACCAAGATACCTGGCTAATTTTTCTATTTTTACTAGAGATGGGGTCTCACTCTTGCTCAGGCTGGTCTTGAACTCTTGAGTTCAAGCAATCCTCCCACCTCAGCCTCCCAGAGTGCTAGGATTTTAGCAATGAGCTACCGTGCCTGACCTCATTTAAGATTTTTTGCATTTTATTGCACAATATACTGAGTTTGATGTTATTCTTTAAAGTATTATAAATTCAGTAAAACATCTGTGTGCACTTAGCAATAACAAAGAGTTTTGAGATTCTGTAAATGGGGATGATATTAATACTGGTCTTTTGATGAGCTAACTGTGTGAAACAGTGATTCAAATGCTGTAGTAGAAATCAAGTGGTAAAGAACCTTCTGCAAAACACCCAAGAGCTTGAGTTCTTCCTCTGTCTATGTACTGTCATTGAGATTGTTGGAGATGCAGAATATTTGTAATATCTGCAGAGAAACCTACCTGGGCCAAACATGTAAGAACAGTAGGATCTTTGGCACCTGGAAAAGATCTGGTCAACAAATACCTTTTTTAAACAGTAAAAATATCCACATACTATTTATAGATTCTTAACTACTTCTTCCCTTTAGTGACATAGGCTAACCAAAATGCTACATTCTCACAGAATACGTATGACAACTGATGCTTGGTCTTGTGTTTTTTAGACCCCTCCATGTTGCTGCACGCAATGGCTTGAAGGTAGTAGTTGAGGAGTTGCTGGCCAAAGGGGCCTGTGTCCTCGCTGTCGATGAAAATGGTAAGTGGTAAAAGTAAACAGGCACTGCAGGTACCTTCCATATGCCGGTTAAGCCAGAGGAAAATGAGAAAGATAGGAGCTAGTTAAAAAGGCAGTGAGAACTCTCTCCTCCTTGGAAGTTCTATGTGTGTGAGAAATCAAATGAGGATAATCCATCCTGTCTGTCTTTTTGTAAATCACACAGTCTACCTGTAGCACGCCAGTGCTGTGCATTTTGCATGTAGTGTCAGCAGCTGGGCTCTAACTCCTCAGCATGGTGGTTAAACTGTCTTAGACACACCGAAAAACTTTCGACTTGGCATTCAAAATCCTAACTGTGTATGCTGAAGAGTTAGGGATTACACATGTCATTAGTGCATGCTCGAGGGCTCAAATAAAAACCTAAGTCTTTGATCGTATTTCAGTTCATTCTGAGATCAAACCTTTTTTTCTTTTTAAAGTACAGATCAGAACTCATATTCCCCATATGGAAATTTGGAGAATAAGAATAAAATTTCTTAACTAATGTCTACACTTGAAAGCTTCTCCTGATCTATATAATGTTTCTTTTCTAAATGAACTAATTCTTAACAGAAGCTTTCTACTCTGCTTCCTAAGAAGTTTTGAAAGCTAATGAATACTAGAATTGTACTAAACTGCCATTTTAAGCAAAATGCCTATTAACCTTGGGGAGCAAAAAAGGAACTTCTGGATATTTATGAATTAAGTAATTTTTTAAATATGGCATTAATTGTGGCATTTAATTAAAGCATTATAATGTATTAATATAACTCAATTAACTGCTTATTACAGGTATTGGAATTAGCAGCTCATGCCTATTTCTCAGAAGTAAGCAGCCATACTGACATCATTAGCTAACTTTTATTAGTGTTGGTTTTGCAGCCCCATTTATCCTAGCATGTATCCCGCTCTGTCCCCAACCTGACTCACCTAGGAAGTGCAGAAAGTTCTCTCTTACCCCATCTCTTTGATTTTCCTGCCTCACCTTCCCTCACCCTCTTATCCCCATAATATACCTTAGGGTTGGCATGCAGAGGCCGACAATTTTTCTACAAAATAACCAAAGAGAACAGAATAAATTAGTTTTGCCTTTCTCTGATATAAATCTGCTGCATCTGAGGTTTGCCCAGCCTATAGCAACCTCAGGCACAAGAACCCTGGGTCAGTGGAACTGCATCCTATCTCAGAGCTTAGCTGAGTCCCATAGGCCTGGGAACACTCGGGGGCAATTTTGTACAGTGCTACAATCAGAATTCCTTTACTCCTCACTGACCTTTGTGGAATGGAATGCTAAGATACCTGTCCATTCTTGTTTGTTTTCATACCAGAAAGAAGAATCTCTTAAAGGGCAGGGCAGGGAAAGCAGGTCAAGTGATGATAAACAGAACAACAAAATGTTAGGTTTCATTGAGCCAGTTCCTCTGAGTGATGGAGCAAGGGCACTACTCATTGGGTGGTAGGAACTCTGGCCAACCCTTTCAGTGGAAAAAAGGTTGGATACAGGCAACAGTTAAGTCAAAGAATTATTAATTGACCTCCCCAAGACACACCTGTTTTATGTGTTGAGGCAGTTTTCTCATCTGGACTGGACACATCAAGTCTAAATGGCAGAGAATGACACGACTCTAATTATGGCAAGCATAGTCATTTTCTTACATCTGTTACATTTCCGATTCAGATTTGGTTGGTGGGGTGGCTATTTCTTAAAATTCTGTTAAATTTCTCTTAAATGATGGTAATTTTTAACCACAAACAACCAGTGCCTTCCTCTATCTGATCTACTCAAATGATTTCATTTTTCTGAAACCAGTTCATTGGTGTATGCTGTAAATAGTGTATGTATAAAGTGATATAACTACATTACTCACTTTTATAGTCATGCAATTTCCAATATCCTTTCCAGTCTGACACACAATTAGCTAACAATGCAAAGTCGTTGTTCTCAGAATGAGAGTCCTACTCGGGCCCAGGCCTGAGGCTCATGGTGTGCGTGTGCTCTCAAGTGGAAACATCTTCCTGGTTGTCCTGTTGCTGTTTCCTGTGGTGTTGTGTCCCACACCCGCCCCCTTGTGTTTCTGTTCACTAGATGAAGGCTGGAATTCTGCCTAACTTTGGATGACACGGTGCTTGCTGTAGTCATGTGAGCTGGAAAAAACAAAACCGAAAAGCCCTCCATAGAACGTCTCCCCCTCCCTCTCCCCTCTAGCCTCACCCCTAGCATGATTTGTGGAGAGCGACTCTCCGTTTTACCCCGCATGATTTCTAACTTGACATACATCTCCGCTTCCGAGAACCCGTGAGATGTAGTGTGGAATGCTCGCGCCGCCTCTGGACTGCCCCGGACTAACCACTGCCTTGTCTGCATTTACGCCCAGGTCATACCCCGGCCCTGGCTTGCGCTCCTAACAAAGACGTGGCTGACTGCCTGGCCCTCATTTTGGCTACCATGATGCCTTTTTCTCCTTCCGGTACAATGACGGCTGTCAACTTCGTTTGTTTTAAAAAAGACAATTTGAGCAGGACAACCCTCTCCAATCTGGGTAGCATGGTTAGCCTGTGCAGTAACAACGTAGGCTCGGAGGATGGGTACAATGAAAACGATTCTGATTCGGAAACATTTTGACTTTGGACTGTAGAAGCTTTTCCTTGATCACCTGTGTTGGAGGAAGGGAAGGAAGCTTGAATTCCAGGTTTATGTTGTGTTCAAGTATCATTTGGGGCTCAGGCTTCCAGAAGCCAGTAGAGAAGGAATTAATCGAACCAAGGGAGGGCAGAGAGGCTGTTGGGTGAAACACTCACACAGATGGGCCCTGATTTTGTTTTGGTTCATGTTTTCCTTAGATCTAAGGTACTTCTGTGAAAGTCTACCTCTCATTTTAAGTAAGGAATAAAAAATGTATTTAATTCCTTTTCTTTGGGGATAATGCAACCAAGAGGCAACTGCTTGCTATAAAGAATCTTTCTTCATGCACTCAGCAGTGAGTTCTCAGAAGTATATCAATGTGGCATTCAGATCCCCTGGGAGGGGAGGGACGAGGTAGATAGGAAACACCTCGAACCTCTTCTCACTTTGATGTTTACGTCCTCACCAGAAGCCAAAGGTAAAGGTGTTCATCTTCAGAAATAATGCCTGTAATAATCTTCGTAGGGGAGTCCAGCTATTCATATCCTGTCTATAGCAAGCACTTAAATATCCAGAACTTCTTTCTGAGGATCTTTGTTAAAGTTGCCAGATGAATTGAAAAACTGAACTTTTTTTCATTTAACACAAATATAGCACCCAGTGTTCCCCACAACAAGCTTGTAACTAATTTTCACCCAAGTGATTGAACCAAAATCTGTCTAATAACATTTCAGGTGAAAATTATATTGTACCGAAACTTTGAGATAATATGCATATTTAACATTAAACTGCCCCTTGTTAATTCTTTCTTAAATCAAAATACTATTTTAAAACCAGAATCATCAGCATTGTTCATCAATAGTAAAATGTTAATGAGCTGCTTAGTCAAGGTCATGCCAAGTGAGTGAAAGTGTGACTGCAAAAGGAAGCAAAGAAAGTAAAAGCAGAAAGTAGAAACGGGTGATAGAGAAATTAAAGCCAATTGCCAGTTGTTTGATGATGAATCAACATAGTGAATGCTGTGTCTACTCCCTCTGCCAAAGCTTCTAGGTCAAATGGACCCCGTTCCGCACCTGGAACAGCTGTACAAAAAGAAGAATGAGACTCTTTAAAAATTGTGCACATATACACACATGTGTGCGCATATGTATATATATATGTATGTATGTAGTTCATCAACCAGCTATCCATGAGGACCAAAATGCTTCAGTCTAAAATGGAAGATTTAAATTTTTTTTCCTTCAAAATGCAAATGAGAACTGAAGTAGCTTTTCTATGGAGTTAAAATGTAGTCTTTTGGCGTACCAGTCTTTGTTGTATTTTATATTTCTTATGACACAGATTTCTAGTTGACAGCTTAACATTTGTAACTGATAATGTGTCGACCATGGTTTATTTTTTGCCAGACTACAGAAAATGTCCATGTACTTTTGATGTAAATGTGTTTATATTTATTTGAAATGAAACAAATACCAAGGAAACATCCATTGTTTAATTGCTATGTATCTTATTTGGAATAACAGAGAAGTGGAAAACACACTTGACCCTGGGCTAGCCAACAGCCCTGGGGCCAGACCCAGCATTTCCCCTGCTAAGGTTTCCAGTGGACCCTCAGGTTCTTCCGTGTTGGTTAGAGACGGGTACGACATTCATCACTCAACCCCAGTCTGTAGCCAGCTTAGAGCTTAGAAGACATTGCAGTCTGCATGCTCGTCCGCGAGATGAAGACTGAAGTGTGTAGTGGATCATTTACATAAAGGTGGCCCAAAGAAGATCCAGAAATTACCCTAAATACACTGAAAATCTCACCTGGTCCCAGTAACCTAATGGGAAATGATGTCATTGTGTGGGCACATGTGCCAAGAGAGAAATAAAAATCACCAGCTCAAGTGCTATTTTCCACTTGAGGAAGAGACAGGAAAGAAATATGTTGAATTAGGACGGTCCTCTCCCACATTTTATAATGGGTTTCATTTTCATCCTGGAAATTTCTATTCATAGTGTATGTGAGAGATTTTTAAAACAGTGTTCTATCATATCTGGATCAAATACAGATACTGTATTATATTTTTCATCTAGCTGTAAAAAACTTTAATCTCTTTTAATATCCTGGATTTAATTAAAACTCATGTTGGATTCTTCACAAATGAGAACTTGTTCAAAGGACTTAAGAACTGATATTAATTTCATTGTCAATTTTCAACATGACCACCATTTTTTAAAAAAAATCTTGGTGTTGTGTTTCCCTCCTTCTCTGTCCTTTTTGTTTATTTAGAGAAGATGAATTTTTAAAAAGTAGATAAAGTGCTAATGAGCAATAATGACCTTATCTTTACCAAAACACTGAAAATAAGGGAGATCCAATGTTGAAGAAGCACAATATACTGCGGTGTCTTTTTCTAGAAGTCAATGGAAATCTTGCTCAGTTGGCATTTAAAGCAGAAAATAACAATGCCTGTATCAATGGGGAAGCGGCGTTAACATGTTTCCTGTAGAGTAGCAGAGAGTACAAGGATCCTTTCAGCAAAGCTGCGACCAGCCATGAGACAGTATCTTCTCCATGGAGCTGCACTTTTCTCCACTCTCTTACCGGTAAGAGGAGGACAAAGGAACAAAGTGAAATCATGCTTACAATGAATCACTCAATATATCTCTCTACCCCTCTCTCTCTATTTCTCCCTTCCCCCAAGACCAAATTTTTTTCTTTAAGCAATGACTTTCAAAGCTATAATTTCTGTGTTTTGATTACATCTCCTAGAAATACAATTATGTTTGTAACATAGCCTTCTAAGAAAAAAAAACAAACAGAAAAATGTTGTGTTTTTTCATTGTGTCTTAGTTGCTTAGTGCTTTTACCTAGATGTGTTATTTTTAGACTGTATTTTAACCACAACCACAGGGATCATGTTTCATTGCACTTACCTATTCACCAGTGTCTATCTTTGGTAAATACATTACTATCTCCAAATTGCCTAAAATCTGCTATGATTCTACAGTAAATAGCTCAGGGGATTTCTATTTATCACTACTAAAAGGGCACCATAGTATGTTTTGGTACTTTAGGCAGTAAACACTGCTTCATTTATTATTTTATTATTAAATTAGAACAAGAACATCAAATGAATTTGCTGCACTAGTTATTCTTTGTACTGTTGAGCAACTTGGTGTGCTTATCTGTTGCGTTAGTTGAAGAACTCATCCCTTTTTTGTCTTGTAATATGAAGTTAGAGTGCCTTTTTATATTTGTATATTCTGAAAATGTTCTGTGAAATGTTTTGTATTTTTTTCATTTGAGTGTTATCAGAGCAATATGATACCAGTGAGTTTTCATTTCAGCCTTTCTTTGAATGTGTAAAGTGTCTTTTTTCCTATTTCCCCTTTTACTTGCATTGAAATGAATATGAAAATGCTGAAGTTTTCTATAGGGATTATGTTGGATTTTGCAGTGCTGAAATGCTTTCTTCTTACAAAACTGTAAACCATAGGTCAGTATTATAGGGGAAAAGCGTTTTAAGATAGTGACAATCTGAGTGTTTGTATCAAATGTAATTCTATGCGTTTCTTATGCAGTGATCTAAAAGTTCAATGCAAATATCTTTTGTTTGGTAGTTTTGTCTACATATTTTATGCTTTAGCATGTGCAATATATATTTGCAAAGCACGATGATACAAATCTGGTGCCAGTGTTATATTTTGCATAACATATTTGTAACAGCATAAAATATTGTTTGATGATTTCAGTGGGATTTGTCTATAATGTTTTCTATGTAAATTGGAGTTGAATGACTCTGGTAAATGTCATGATGGTAAAAATGAGGAAAATGACTTTTAGTTCAGTGAATGACTTTGAACCTATCTGAATCTTCTCAAGCACAGTTTAATACTTTTGCAACTACTGAATGCTCTAATAATGTAATGAAGTACTTAACTGAAATATACTATGGAAATGCATTCAGATGGTTATTTTTACAAATAAAAACGGTACAAATATTGTTGCCATTTGTGTTTTCTTTAATTTTTCCAATTTATGCTTTTTACAAATTATGCTAATTTAAATCTTTGTCTCCCCCCTTTGATTATTAACTTTAAATTTTGAAAATAGTTAGAAGTGTATCTCCAGATTTGCTATTTCTGTTTGTATTTCACAATTAGAGGAAAAAAATTAAATATGTACGTTTGTGTCTATTATATTTATTTGTGCCTCCAACTTTTTCCACAAATGATTTGAGCTGACTTGTAACAAAAGACATGGGACCAACTAGAAGTAGATGAATTAGGACAGGGAAAAAGAACACCAACAAATACAGGACCCATAAAATTTAACATAGTGGCTATGACTGAACTTGAGTTTTACTCTGAGCTTCCTTGCAGCCAAGGTAAGAGGGGAAATATGATCAGTTATACAGTGCACATATATCAGAAAGAAGGAAGCCTACTGGGTCCTCAACTTTGTGAAATCAACCATGGTTATCTTTGTTTCTGTCACCACTACCCTGCAGGGGCTTCATAGCAACACAAGAACTTAACTTTCTGTACTATGAAGATATCCATAGAATTTCCTTCTCCATCCATCTCACCATCCAAACTTCTCCCCCTTGAGTGGTAACTTCAGGGACAGTCCCTGGAAGCACTAAGGAACAAATTCCTAATGATGGAGATTCCAGCAAATGAGAAGGAGATTTTGGAGGTGGGACCTGTCTGCGTTCCCTAAATCACAGCATCATAGAATGTTAGGAGTTCTTACAGTCCAGGCCAATCCCATCACCAGCTTTTGTTTGTTTGTTTGTTTGTTGGGACAGAATTTCTCTCTGTCGCCCAGGCTATAGTGTAGTGGTGTCATCATAGCTCACTGCAACCTTCTGGGCCCAAGCAACCCTTGTGCTTCAGCCTCCTAAGTAGCTGGGACTACAGGTGTGCATCACCACACCTGGCTAATATTTGTAATTTTTGTAGAGATGGGGTCTTGCTCTTGCTCAGGCTGGTCTCAAACTCCTGGCCTCAAGCTATCCTCCTGCCTCAGCCTCGCAGAGTGCTGGGATTATAGGCGTGAACCACCATGCTTGGCGGTCATCACCAACTTTTTAATGAAGAAACTGAATCCCAGGGAAGTTACACACTTGCTCAAATTTTTAGAGTTAGTGAAAATGACATATGATTCGCACCCCTAGATGATCTCTCTTCTATGCCATCTTGCCATATAATGTTTTGGGTTTTTTTCTGCCAGAGATGTTCAGGAAGTTTTGTATTCAGCCCTGCCTTGCTCTTTATTCAAATATATAAATCTGATTGCTTTTCAGTCTTAAAGACTATAAAGCATGAATCACACCACAAGTGTTTTCTATTGTTTAGAGAAGACTGAGTATATTAGTTATCTACTGCTGTGTAACAGATTATCCCCAAACTTAGTGGCTTAAAACAACAAATGTTTCCTATGTCACAGTTTCTGTAAGGCAGCCATGGTTTGGCTGGGTCTTCTGCTACAGGGTCTCTCACGGGCTGTCTCATGGTGTTGGCCAGAGAATGATCCATATGTAAGCTCACTCACATGGTTGTTGGCAGGACTCTTCTCATGGGTTGTTGGACTAAGGACTCAGTTCGTCGCCAAATGCGCCTTTCCACAGGGAAGCTCACAATGGCAGCTTGCCTCACGAGAGTCAGCAGGCTGAGAAAAGCCAGAGAGAAAGAGCAAGACAGAAGTCGCAGTTTTTTGTAACTGAATTTCAGAAGCGATATCCCATCATTTTTCCCTTATTCTATTCATTAGAGGCAAGTTACTAGGTCCCGTCTATACTAAAGAGCAGGGAGTTACCAAGGGTGTGAATACCAGGAGGCAGGAATCACCGGGAGCCATTTTGGAAGGTACTTAACCACACTGGTCTATCACAGTGTCCTTCGAGGGTGTAATATCATACTAGTATGCTTCTTCCCAATAATTGCTAAGAAAATTGTTTATTTGACTTCCTAAATTCAGTCTTTCAAGAAAAACATAGAGATCCCAAATTTTAATTGTACTCTCATAAGTAAGGAAGAAGGTGATAATGGCCTCCAGGGCAGTCATCGTATTGTTGAACATTGATGAGGCACTTTGTCTCCAAACTGCTTATCAAAAAGGATCCCTCTCCCCAATTCCATGTGATAGGTTTAGATCCCCATACCTATCCCTCACTTAACACACTTAATATGTTCCAGAATTGGCTTTCATGGCACAAAAGCGTTAAGCTAAAAGGCTATTAACATAACATAAAAACATTGGGGGTAAAAGTACTGCATGAATTGTCTCTTTAGCACATTTCACACTGAAGTTACATTTGCTGTATAATACAAAGCACCAAGATAATGGCTGTGCCATTTACGAATTCTCAGGCACTCCAGAGGGTGACTGGAACTGTGTGGGCATTTGTGCTTGGCCCAATGATTAGGGGCAGGAAGGGTTGCTACTGGCATTTACTGTTCCGAGGGCCAGGATACCAGACGTGTCGTCAGCCCAGTGAACAACTACCCCACCCACCATGCCGCTGCTTTCCCACAACACTGCTCACCTGCTTGCTCTCCTCTTGTTTTTGAATCATTTCTTCATCAAGTTATTACTTGTGAAGCCAGGCATATTTCTTTATCTATTTTCTCAAGGAATTGCATGAAAATTATCTAATCTACATCCCCCTATAAAGAGAACTTACAAGCTCGAGAAGAATTTCAGAAGGCAATGCTGAGTGCATGACTTGGTTATGTATTTTTCTAAGAGAAAAGAGAAAAGTACAGCATAGATCGAAGACGTATTTAATTCCTTTGTTATCAAACACACAGGTGCACATACACACGTGCACATTCCTTGTCTTAAGCAAGGGGTAATTGTATCTACTTTCCAGGCAGGGAAACTCCTGTTCACAAAGATGGGGGCACTTGATCCACACTCACACTGCAAGGTCTGGCTGTGCAGTACTATGGCCTCTCATGGTTCTCCAGGCACCGGTGGACACAATTTCTACGACACCATTTTCTACCTTTAAGTGACGATTTAATGAAATACTGTATATTTAAATTCTGGAAGAATTTTATAATTTTCAAAAGTAAAAATGCTGAAACAGTACTTAGAGTGCAAAAAGCTTACCTATGTTTATATTTAGTCGATAAAGCACCCAGCAAATATGAGAACTTTACTCATATTTCTTATAGTTGAGTTTCCTAAGAATTGCAATCATTTAAGCTCAGATTTTAACCATAAGAATTTGCCAGCTATACAAAGGTCAGAGGAGAGAATATTGCAGGGAGAGGGAACGGCCAGTGCCAACACCCAAAGACAGGAAAGAGTTTGGTATGTTCCAGGAACAGAAACTGGGCCAGTGAGGTTGGAGACTCAAGGGAAAGGGGAAGGTGGTAGGAGATGGGATCAAGAGCTAACTGAGGCCAGATGTGAAATTTTTTGAGCTGGGAGGAGTTTCTATTTTTTTCTGAATGTGACAAAAGCCACTGGAGAAATTTAAGCAGAAAAATAGCAGAAAGATTTCATTTTTAAAAGATCAATCTGGCTGCTGTTGAGAGTCAAGAAGGAAACCCTAGTGACCAGTTAGGTTGCCACTGCAATAGTGTAGATAAGTACACAAGTGTAGACACAGTGGCTTGGATTGGTGGCACAAGAATGGAAATAAAGACAACGTTACACGTTTTGGATACATCTTGAAGGCAGTAGAGTTGACTGAACTTGCTGATGGTTTGTTGTCAAGTAAACAGTCTAGAGTTTGGGGAAGAGGTGGGTCTGGGGTCATACAAATTATAGATGTGTGAAAGTTGATTTGGAGTCATTCTTTTCATACCCAACTAAAATGGAGTTCAGAGGCCATTGGGAAAAAGCTTGGGGTACAAACACCTGTTCCAAAAACTGTCTCCCAAATGCAATCCAGCAAAACAGCTTGCTATGGCTTTATGACAATCTTTACCCGGTATTAACAATTGCTGCCACCTGCCTATCAAAGGTCCTCTGCTAGCACCAATTAACTTTCTTTCCAAAAAAACTTGCATAATCCTTTCTCCTTTCGCAATAAAACCCCAGCCATTTCCTTTGTTCTTTGGACACACTGGAAACCGCCCTGGGCTCTGTGTGTGTGTCCTGATTGCAATTCTACTTTTTATATATACTCTGAAAACCCTTTGCTTGGAGATTCATCACTGCATATTTTATTTAGTATTGACAGATGATGAGAGGAGATTGTCTTGGGAGTGAATGTAAAGAGAAGATCCCTGGACTGTGGACACTCCAACATTTAGAAGTCAGGAAGAGGAGGAGGATCTAGCAGAGAAGACCCAGACAGAGCGGTCAGAGGCAGAAGGAAAACCAAGAGATGGAGATGTCCCTGAAACCTGGAAAACAAAGAATGTCATAGAAGAAGGAGTGTTAATTGTATCTGTTGTCTCAGTTGCTTCTAGGAGTTCAAATACAATATGGCAGAGAAGCTGACCATTAGATTTGGCAACATAGAGGTCGTTGGTGACCTTTGCAAGAACAGATGCAACAAAGTGGTGGGAGCAGCAATCCAAAAATGGTGGGTTGAGGAGAGAAAGGGACGGGAGAGGTAAAAGGAAGAAGAAAAATGAGGCAGTAGCTGGAGAAAGATGTGGAGACTAGGGAGTGTATTTATTGTTTAATAGAAGATTTTGGCCGGGCATGGTGGCTCATGCCTATAATCCCAGCATTTCAGGAGGCCAAGGTAGGAGGATCACTTGAGGCCAGGAGTTGAAACCATCCTGGGCAACAAGTGAGACTCTATCACTACAGATTTTTTTTTTTTTTTTAAATTAGCCGGGCATGGTGGTGTGCACCTATAGTCCCAGCTACTAGGGAGGCTGAGGTGGGAGGATCACCTGAGTCCTGGAACTGTGTAGGCATTTGTGCTTGGCACAATGACTAGGGGGCAGGAAGGGCTGCTACTAGCATTTACTGTTCCGAGGGCCAAGGATACCAGATGGGATACCTGGGTGACAGATCAAGACCCCA